CACGCAGACTCCGGTGAACCAGAATCCAGGCCCCAAACCTGAACCAGTATATTCAGTGTGCTTGTGCATAAACTGTTTAACTTTCATCCCTGTGTCCGTCAGTGGTGTTCTGCATTCTTGGGTCGCTTTTAGTGAACCCATCATGACAGACTTATGTCTTTTGCTTTTATCTTCTGGGTTGTTGTATATGATTACATGTATGTAATTTACTTGTGTTTATTCTAATTGGACCAATAAAGAGAGTCCATGGTATTTACACTTTGGGTTTCGCTAGGCTTGGATTTATGTTATTCTGTTTTTGATTTTTTTTAATTATATCTTTTTTTTTTTTTTTATAACTTCTTTGTTTTACTATTCCTGTTTGGCGGTTTTTCAGTTTTCACAGTTCAGCATTCCTTACTCTTTGCTCTAGTTTTATTTTGATCTGCATTGTTTATCTTTAGGTTATGTTTTCCAGTTACTCTCCATTGCTCCCTAGTGTCACCTTCCTTCCCATTGGTTCTCTTCTACTTCTTTCTCTGCACACCTTTTCCCCACTCAGATCATTAAAACTATCTTTGTCATGTTCTTCTCCACCTCAGTGTATATAATGTATACCCCTCCTCTGCAGTTTGTATTTGCTGGATTGTGTTTCTTTATTTTATGTCCTCATTAGTTCCTGTCAGTTAACTCCTGTGTACTCTGTCCTTGTTCCTCACCTGATTACTTTCTGGATTTATACTACTGCTGCCTTTATCATTAAATCTACAAGAAACCATCTCTGCGTCCGCCCCTGCATTTTGGGTCTAACGACAGACTTCTCCTGACAGCCTCCGTAGAATATTTGGAGTGAAGACATCAGTAATTCAAAAGTTTAGTTGCTCTAGTTGTATCCCCTAGATCAGTGATTCCCAACTGGAGTACTCTTGCACCCTTAGTGGTCTGCGAGTGCATTGCAAGGGGGACATGAAAATATTTTATTTATTAGGGAGTAAAGTAAAATGGGGCTGGGATCTGTTTTATTTGTGAGGAGGCAATTCAAAAATGAAACAAGCTTTAATCAACCAAAAAGTAAAGTTTTTCATGTTTGTTTGTGTTCACCTTAGCTTTAACACGCATCAAAACCAAGCAGAGGAACAGACTGGATGTAGAGAACAGCCTGGCATCAGCTGTTTTTCACTTCGAGCTATAGGGGCTCCTCAAAGCACCTCAGGTGTCTTGATGAAAACGGAGTAAAACTAATGAAGGCAGTCTGACCCGTTTTTTTTATTTTTTTATTTACGGTTTCCACAGCATCAAGGTGAACTTCTTACTCACATATTACCCACAGGAAAAAGGTAACGGGCTGGAATCATATAAAAATATTTTTTTAAAGGGTTGACTTGATGATCCAATGGTTTGTCAGAATAAAACAAAAAAATCAAACCCTATAAAAATGGTGGCAAACAGACAAAAAAAATACCTTTAATATGATGTAAAAGTATATAATTTCTGGCATCTAATGTACGTAAGTGCAAAGTATCACATAGTAACCAATACAGTAAAACATTTTAAAGCTGTCCCATTGGTTTATGATTAATTAATTATTTACTAAATTACAGAAACTTTCTTTAATGTTAAAAGCAACTTTTTTTCCCTTAATTAGGATTTAGCTTTACAAATAATGCTGTACGAAAAATAGTTTTCTTCTGTCATGATGTTTTTAACCTACCTCATGAAACTGCTGAACTACGAGAGAAGAATTCACTCACAGTGAGTGAAAACATCTCTCTAAAAGGAAACTGAAAGTAACTTCTTTTGGCTCTGTTGAACCGGAAACATAACTAGAGCGTCACGTGACAAGAAACTTTCCCCTGTGTTTCTGAAAGCCCTCTCTGGAAAATGGCAGAAAGCACGGCAGTCCTTAAACATTTCCTGAGCTGCTACGTTTGTTCAGAGACTTTCAGAGATCCTGTTTCTCTGAGCTGCAACCACAGCTTCTGTTCAAGCTGCCTGAAGGAATTCTGGGAACAGGCTGGAAACAAAAACTGTCCCATCTGTAAAAGAAGATCTTCCAAGGAATTCATAGATGTAAATTTTTCCCTGAAGGAAGTGACTGACTCATTTGCAGGAAGACAAAAATCTGGATCATCGAAAAAAGGTGAGGAGCAGTTGATGGTGGTCGGCAGTAAACAACAAGAACACCCTAAACTATTCTGTGAAGACAATCAGAGCGAAAAGGGGAAAAGCACGAGCAGAGAAAAACAAGCTAAGATAGGGTCCTGCAGTAAACACCAAGACGTTCCTCACTTGTTCTGTAAAGACGATCAGAGAGCAGTTTGTCCTGTCTGTGAGTTTTCTCTTCACCAGAATCACAAAGTGGTTCCTCTAGAACAAGCAGTCAGTGATCTGAAGGAGCAGCTGAAATCTGACTTAAAGCCTCTGCAGGAAAAGAAGGACAAATGCAAACAAGTGAAGAAAACATATGATGATATGCTTCAACACTCCAAGGAGCAGCTGTTTTCCACAGAGACACAGATCAGAGCAGAGTTCACAAAGCTCCACCAGTTCCTGAAAGAGGAAGAGGAGTCCAGACTGGCAGCTCTGAGGGAGGAAGAGGAGCAAAAGAGGAAAACTATCAGCATAGAGAAGAAGAGGATTCAGGAGCAGATCTCCTCTCTGTCAGACAGTATCTCTGCTGTTGAAGAAGACCTGCAGAAAGACCAGGTGTTTTTCCTCAGCAGTTATAAAGCCACTCAGAGCAGAGCCAGAGCCCAGAGCTCACTGTCAGATCCACAGCTGCTCTCAGGAGCTCTGATAGATGTGGCCAAACATCTGGGCAATCTGTCCTTCAGAGTCTGGGAGAAGATGAAGGAGAAGGTCCAGTTCTATCCTGTCATTCTGGACCCAAACACTGCATACCCTGGGCTTCATTTGTCCGTGGATCTTACCACTGTGAGACGTGGAGAAACAAAGCAGCAGCTTCCTGATAATCCAGAGAGAAACACCAACACTGGAACCGTGTTTGGTTCTGAGGGCTTTAGCTCAGGGAGGCACAGCTGGGAGGTGGAGGTGGGAGACCATCCTGACTGGACTCTGGGTGTAGTTAAAGAGTCAGCTGAGAGGAAGGGTGCAAGATGTGCTTCACCAAAACATGGGATCTGGAGTTTATGGCACGGTCATGGAATATATACGGATACTTTAGGAACGGTTATCTCAGTGAAGAAGAGTGTTCACAGGATCAAAGTCCAGCTGGACTATGACAGAGGGGAGGTGTCCTTCTATGACTCTGAAGACATGACTCACATCTACACTCACAGAGACACTTTCACTGAGAAGCTCTTCCCATATTTTGGTATTAGACGATCTGGTAGTGCTAAAACATCTGATGTCAAAATATTTTATAGAAACATTGCTCTTTAAGGTTTGGGGACTTTCATTGCCATGTGTGAGATCAGTTCTACTTCACCTAATATTGCCTCTACAGTAATTTTTGCAGTTTTGCATGTTTTATAATTCATTCTTGGCTAACAAAGGGATATATTGTGTTTCTTCTATTCAAATTAAAAGAAACAATAATGGAATTAATGAATAATATACTTGGCATATTTTGTGTCTGTTTAAATCTATGTTGGTCCATTAATGCCTAATTAGGAAATACGGCTACATCAAGCAGGGCATATGTAATCAAGCTTAATAGATGTCTGAAGTTTTTTTTTTTCAAAAGGCCATGAGGTCTATCACAAATTCATGAATTCAATTCAACAACAACAGATCTGCAAATGCCTGAAAAATAAACATTTCTTTACAACTTCTCTTACCTGAAAAATTTCTAATTTAAGGAGTAAATTGTAATTTTCTACTATTAACCTGAAAATAAGGAATGTAAGCCAATATAGTAACATCTTTTTTGTCTTAGCATTTAGCATCTCTGTGGTGCAGTGGTTTAAGTCTTTGTTGTATATTTGGGATTGAATACCGAGTATTTAATGAATGTTATCTGGCATTAAAAACTTAAAACAACGAGTATGTTTAATCATTTTTGTTACAACTTTGTTATTCCTAGAATTCACACCATCAGAGCATTTTGAGCTTAACTTAAAAAAAATGGAGGCCTATTGTAGAATGGATCCAGGATTGGAAGCCAAAAGATTTTTTCAAATAATGTAATTCATCTAATAAATGTATGTATTTAACAGGTTTAACCATAACTTACTCTTATCTAATTGGTGGGATTTCCTGTGAACAAAATCCCCTTGATATGCTCAGGAGACCACATACTCATAATGAGCAAACTCATTATGAGCATGTGATCCAATGCACTTGTTCCAAAGTTTTGCTTGTGATGTGAATCCTAATTCATGCTACCTATTTGAAATATTGTAGAATCCCTCCTTGATATAGATCATTCTTTTGTTGATCTGAAGGTAATGAAGATGTGCATAGATCATTTTAATGCAAAATGCACTCTTGTGAAGGTTTAGGAAATACTGTCTTTGATAAGATTATCAGCATCTCCAACAGAATACAGGAACACCCACTAGTAGAAAATCTGAGCCCAACTCAGATGATCTGGTAAAAGAATGCCTCTGTTTGGTGCAGTGCTGTATTTTGGGACCCGGCAGTCTGCAAAGCTCACTGATCTCTATTTATTCCCTGGATTGCCCAATTGCCCGTTGGTAGTAAGGGGTTGAAGTGAAGCCACCAGCCGCCATATTAGTACTCCCTTGTTAGACCCGTCGCAATGTAAATAACGTGCGCTACAGCATCGAAACAACAAGATGTTCTTATTTTCAGGGGGACTCAAGACTTTTAAAATTAAGAGAAACTCATAATTTTGCCACACACACTTGCTGTTTCATAGCATAAAGTAGATTACTGTAACTTACCGTAAATTCTCTAATATAGGCCCCGGCCTTTTTTTCACTCAAGTGC